ACACACATATATATATATAGTCACAGAGCAAGAGAGATTTATTATAAGGAATTGGCTCACGTGATTAAGGAGGCTGGAAAGTCCAGACCCAGGAGAGTTGATTCTATTGTTCCTGTCCCAGTCAGAGGCCACAGGCAGGAGAAGAGCAATGTTTCCAGGTTAAAGACAGGCAGAGCTTTTATTCTACTCAGCCATTGATTGGGGAGGCTCACCCACAGTTGAGAGAGCAATCTGCTTTACACCGTCCATGAATTCAAATGCTGATTTCATCCAGAAACACTTTCACAGACATATCCTGTAATATCATTTAGCTAAATATCTGGGCACTCTGTGGCCCAGTCAAGTTGACACACAAAATTAGCTATCACAGAGACCCAACTTCTAATTTTACTCTTTTGGCACATTATTTATGTAACAAATTATAGTAAAAAAACAATTAACTTACCTTATTTGTATGCATTTAGGCATACAAAGATATATAAGTATTACTTAAGTAACAAGTTCAAGTTTTTAACCATAGCTTAAAATAGAATTAACTTAGCCATATTTTAATGAAACATATCATATTAAATTTATTGTTTGAATGAAATGTAACAACCATTTGAATTAACAAAATCACATCTATATACCTGTATCTCTCTGCAATTACTGTATCCTGTACAATTAGCCATGTACATGAATTAGTATCTTTAATTAGAGTAACCAATCTTTTCTTAATAACAGAAGTTCAGGAGATAAGTTAAAAATGGTACAGCTATATATTTCTGAGGACTGATCTCATTTTAAGAATTAGAGGAGGCATTATATTCACAAACATATGTGAATTAACATCCAAAGGTGTGTTTGCATTTTTGTTAATCTGACATTTTAAGAAAGAAAAATTAAAATTATATTCAATAATCATGTTTTTATATCTTTTTAGAAGAAATACACAGGTCTTTAAAGATTACTTATTGATTTAGTTCTAAGCTCTTAAAACTAGTTAAAAATCTGGGAATTACAGATTAGATAATACATCAAATCTTTATAAAATGTAGCATTGTAAGGAATTTATAAAATTAAACATTTTAAAAAGATATCTATTACTTTTATTAAAGTTAAATACAAATTTATGCATGTGATTTTAAAGTAAGTTATGGATATAGTGGAAATGTATTTGATGCAGAACCAATGTAGGACATTTAGGAAGTTGAATCATGAGAAATTTAATCTTGGTCTTAGACAAACCAAAATATTATAATATTTTTTAAAATGACAAATTAATAAAGACTGAATCATGCTAAGGTTTTTCTTTTATTATGAAATTGATGCCTTTTCTTATCTCAGCTAGTTACAAAGGTTATCAGGTAAATATGATTTTTTCTTTTTCTTCTTCCTCTTTCCCTCTCTCTTCTCCCTCCCTCCCTCCCTCCTCCCTTTTTCCCTTCCTTCCTTCTTTCCTAGATTACCACTTTATTATAAAAGGATATAGCCCAGCAGCAGCCAGATGGAAGAAATGCCCAGGGGCAGCTATGGGGAAGGGGCGCAGAGCTTCCATGCCCTCTCCCAGCACCTCCACTTGTTCATCTTCCCAGAAGCTCCTAACTATACTTCCTAATGTCCATAAAAGGAAACATAGTTTAACAATGTTTCTTTTTCTCATTTAGATAATTTTGGCTTTATCTGATCTAAATATGCTTAGAGTGTAACTATAACAATGAATGCATTTTTTGAATAAACCATTCAAGTTTTCAAGAAACGGAAAAGAGGGGAGGTGGGATAGGATAAAACAAAGGGAACTGGCTTTAGACAAGAGCTGATCATTCTTCTCTGTGAGGAGAGAGGAGAGAGTTTAGACGAGCACAGACAAAAGAGTGTCATGTATCTGGTTTTGACATGATTTGGGTCCTTGACAATTTTATCAAGGCATAAGATTTTTAAAGCCAGCACTTACTCATTCTCAATGTATGGAATGGAGGGATATGATGTCTCCTGCATGAAACATAACTATCTGTTGTTTAGGCAAACAAGACAAATAATTTCTTCATGAGACTTCTTTTGTTTTTTGGTATCTAAAGTCTCCTTTAAAAATGTAGCCAAATATTGACATTTGTGCAATAAAGTGGTTTACCAGCCAGCATTTTTTGTTTACCTAACATATCTGTGATTTCTGACCTGAAGCCTTTAACAAACTATGGAAAGACCACTGGACATGTCAACATCAGAAGCTAATCCCGAATACTGTCTACAGGAGCTGATGAGGGAGAAGATTCCCAAGTCTTTCATTAGCTTTAGCTGAAGAATATTTTACGGAGGTAATTTTTGATTTCAAATTGTGTTTAGAATCCTGCTCAAACCAATTAAAGCAGACCATTGTATACTCAGAATTTTGTCCATATTGAAATTCCTCAGAAGTGGCCACTATAAACTATTTCTGTTGAAAGTGAGCCACTAGAAAGTTATGCAGAGGTGTTAACATTACACACAGTGAGAAAACATTCAGAAAACAGGTGTTTGGTCTGAAAGAGGCAGAGTTTCAGATAAGACAGACCCTGGAGAATGGGGTTGTGTTCAGAGGTTGGTGCTCATGTAACTTTTTGTCTTGGAGCTTGTCAAAGACCAGTCATCACTAGTCAGTTTTCAAATCATTCAAGAAAAAGCCTTCATTAACACATTTTTCAAGAGCTGGACACCATGGCAAGGAAAAGTGAAATCTTACGCCTGGTAACATTCACAGCAAGTTGAGTTTCCAAGATCAGGTGGGATGAGGTAACAGAATGAGTTGACATTTCCAGGGCACCCTGCCCTTGTGTGGACAGAGGTGAGGTACAGAGGAAGGAAGCGGGGAGGCTCGCTGGGCCTGGACAAGGAGCAGGGGAGGATGAGCAGAGCCAGGCAGGGAGGAGTCAGAGGGCTTTCCCCTCACCTTCTCAGGAGCCTCTTGCTAGGGACGAACCACAGCAGTCCCTGGAAGAGTCAAGGCCACAAATGCCAATGGGGAAAAGTTGCTGGTGGCAGGCTGCTGGGCGGAGAATACTTGGAGTGTAGAGATTAATTTATCACTTAGATTGGCAGTGCTCATAGACTGCCAGACATCAGGTGGGCAGTGCCAGGTGGGTGAGGAGAAAAGCCCTGTTGGAAGACCTGGCCAAGTCTAAAAGGATGACCATTCCATCTCCTGTCAGCACCCTATGACCCAGGGCAGATGCTGGTCCGCAGAGTGGGTTACCCAGGCCAGAGGCAGTCTGGTGAGGATTCAAGGTGGGCCTGGGCTGGAGCAGAATCTCGGTTAGCAGATGGCAACCTGGGAACAGCTCTAATTCTCAGAGAGATGAGGCCATGAAGAGTGAGACCTAGGCTGAGCCAAACCCAGCGGGGTGGGGGGTGGATTTGGGACAAATTCCCTTCCAGCCCAGTAACTCCTGGCATCTATGCCAAAAATGAACTAACAAGCCAGAGGATGACATCTCCCTTGTTCCTAAGTTCTAGAAAAAACATGCTGCTCGTGGGGCCATGCAGTGGGCCTGGCAGTCAGGAGCTGCAGCACGGGCTGGGGTGGATGCCAGGGACCCCTCTGGGCTGGGGATATCAGGCACTGACACGGGGCTGGCAGAGGTGCGAGCTGTGGGTGTGGCTGCACCAGAGAGGCCTGTGATCTTGGGTGGAATCTAGCCTGGAATTGGGTAGGAAATGCTTATGCAATTAAGGTCAGGTTGCTAGGAGCCCTCAGTCTTCTAAGGCTTCTTCTCCACTCTGGAACTCCCTCTACAGACTCCTCCATCCCAGCCTTCCGACAGGTGAGCTTCAGACCCTTCACAACTTCCCAGCACACTTTCCCCGCCCCGCTGCCTAAGTATGTCCCCTGGTTAACGGCAACCCTGGTGCTGGGAACCCGGGAAGGGCGTGCTGTCTTCCCATGGCCTTGTGGACCACCGGGGCATGGTGGGGAAAGCCCTCTGCCTGGGGGCAAATTCGAGCTCCATGTAGAATGCAGGTGTCAGGGACTTGAGAGCTGGCGGTCCTGGTCGTGTGCCTTGGCATGTCTCTGGGGTGACAGTCACTGTCCGTTCTAAAGAAGGTGAAGCAGTTATCAAGCTTGACACAAAGTAGGACGAGTCCCCCACATTGGTAACAGGTCCACGCCAAAGGGGGACCTGCCCCAAGTTCAGGGAGCTTCAGCTCTGCAGCCCCTCCTGCACTGATTCTGGGAAAGTGTCCACATGGTGATGAATTTCCTTTTGCTGCTGTAACAGTGGCCACAAATTTAGCTGCTTGGGACAAGAGCCATTTATTGTCTTACAGAGCTGTAGGTCTGGAGTCTGGCAAGTGTGGCTTAGGGTCTCCCAAGACCAACATCAAGGTTTTGTCCATCCTGGTCTCTTATCCAGGAGCTCTGGGGGAAGATACACCTCCAGGCTCGTTCATTTTGTTGACAGAATTAATTTCCTTCTTTCTCCTTAGCTCCTGTCCTCATCACACCCAGCATGGCCGGCGGGTTCTCACACTAGGCTCTCTCACTCCTGCTGCAGCACTGCTCTCACCCCGGCTAGAGGAAGCTTTCTACAGGCCTCAAGTAGATAGACTGGGCCACCTGGATAATACAGGACAATATCCCTAGTATAGGTCTTTAAGTTTCATTACATCTGCAAAGTCCCTTTTGTCATGTAAAATAATGAAACCTATTCACAGGTTCTAAGGACTAGGAAATGGCCATTGGTGGAGCATCATTCTGCTGACCACACATAGTCCTTTTTTGTAGAATTTTCGAGTGATTCTTTGTAGAAGATTCAGAATTCTCCATTCTCCTCTTGTGTAAGAGTGTTTTTCAAGCCATAGTTCATTAATCATTGTTGCTTCCTTTATAATGAGTTTAAGGAGTGGCAACCAGCATTTTTGTAAGGAATATAGTAGAATTGAGTTGCATAGAAAATATCAAGACTGTTGCCTATAACTATGATCCGTGAAACTGTTATTTACACACACACCCACTGAACAAGGTCAGGTCATAAAGCATACTTCTTAGGATACTTAAAGATTAGAAACTTTGAAAAGAAAAATTGAGAGAAAGACCCCAGCATTCACCTGGAGCCCCCAGTCAGGCTTGCTTCCGGTTCCGGGGGAATTTCTGGAGGGTGTGGAGGTGCCGTAGCCCAGGCGGATCGCAGAAGCCCAGGGGGCTGGCGGCTCCCTTGCGCCCTGGTTGCGTGGGTGACCCTCCTCGGTTCGGACGACCGAAGATGCCCTTGCCTCAGTTTCCTCCCTTGTGGCTACGTCTAAGAGTCCGTTTGGATAGGGAAGGAAACCTCTAAATACATTTTTCTGGGTAAACGAGGTACCTGGCGGAATCACCTACCCCGCCCTGAAGGCGGACCTCCCTGCGGCCTCTCCGGCCTCTCCGGCCTCTCCTGCCCAGCTCAGGGAGAGGCCCGGAGCTCAGCCCGGGAGCCCGCAGGCGTCTCCTCCCCGGCCAGGAACCTGCCGCCCTCCCTGCGGGCCCTCCCGGCCCTGGGGCTTCACCGGCAGGCTCAGACGTGTCTTTACTTTTGTTTATCCCAAAAAGAAATTTCTTTGAGCCTGAGAGTATTCGCCGGGCCGCCTCTCCCGGTCCCTACCCCCCACCGCCGTGCCCGCCGTGCGGCCGTCCGTCGCCCTCCTCAGACACTCGCGGGCCTCTCCGCGGCACCAAACGCTTCCAGACTCAATATAAATTTCACTTAAAATTGGACCCATAACGTGATCTGGACTCCCTTACCTCCCCAGCCCTCTCTGTGTTTCATGCTCACCGCTTCGGCGTCCGAGCAGCGCCCGCAGGTCCCGGCCGGAGCCCGACGGAGGCCCTTTGGCCTGGGGGGGAAGAAGCCGGGATGGACGGGCCACAGAGGCCTGGGTCCCCGGGCATAGACCGCGGGCGCCCGGAGCCGCCCTCTAGCCGGGCGGCCCCGCCGGAACGGGCTCCGGGTGGGGCTGCGGTGGGCAGAGCGCCCCTCCCAGCGCCCCGGGAGCGGAGAGGCCGCTTCGGAGCGAACCGCCCGTGTGGGGCCAGGAGGCCTCCGGCGGGGTCTCTGAGGCCCTGTTCCAGCCCGAAGTCCCCGCGAACTAAGGCCTGAGGTCCCACCCTGATTCTGAAGCCAGTGCGCCCCATGGCCCCGCCTCTCTTGCCCCAGCTTCCCTCCCTGCACAGCGCAGGGTGGGTAGGCCCGTTGGCCAGGCCTCTTCGACCCCGCAGTCTTACTGCGTTCCCAGGAACCGGGGCTGCGTGGGGGTCTGGGTGGGGCCCCCACCCCCGGGCTGGGAGGTGGCCTGGAGGGCAGGCTTAGGGTGGGCTCGGGCTGCATGTTGCAGGGCAGTGGGGAGGGCCTGTGTGAGCACCCCCCAGGCTCTACAGGGCGGCTGGTGGGCAGCGGGACGTCATCGTGCCGTGTGTCCCTGGCGTCACTGTTCCAGGACACCCACCCTCCTGCATGGTCACCCAGCCGGCAAACGATGAGCAGGTCAGGCTGAAAGGCAGCGGGGTGGGACCTTGGCGGAAATCCGGATCCCTGTGTCCCTGGTGGGAAAGGCTGGCAGAGCAAAGCTGCTGGCCTCTCAGGCAGAGTTGTTGGCCCTGGCCCCAGTCCTGACGTGGAATGGTCTCCTAGCCTCACTCTCATCCAGTCCCTGAGTCCCAACAAGTGTCTCGGAGATGCCCAGATTGATACAACTCAGAGGCAGGGAGCAGGGCTCAGTCTGTACCATCAGAGTCCCCAGGGTAATGGTGACTGTTATAAATCCCCAGGACAAACCACCCAGAGCCCTTCTGGAGCAGCATGGCGTGGTCCTCCGCCTGGTGACTTAGCACTGGGGCACTTCTGCTTCCTTGATGACTGGAGGAGTGGTGGGTAGGGAAGCTCAGGGGGCATGTAGATGCTGCAGGTCACTGGGGATCCCGGACCGACAATGCCTGTTGGGTCTGGGCAGGTAGGGTGCCTAGACCACCCATTCAGCAACCTCACTAGGTGATGTTTGGGGCAAAGTTTTTGCACAGGTTTTCCTGTTTCCCAAGCAGAACGCAAATCAGGGTGTGGGTGCCTACTGTGGGAGCTAAGGGCATTAGTAAGGGGCTCAATGTTGTTTGAGGGGTATGTCATCAGGAGGTGATTCTAAGCGAAGAGCTGAGGGTCCTAGGACTGACAGGTCTGGAGGAGGGAACACCAGTCTTCCTGTCTGTCCCACAGGGACCATGAAACCAGTGTGGGGCTCAGGGGCAGACCCAGGGGCATATTTCAGCTCCATTCATGAAGAGCTTCTGATTGTTCAGAGCTGCACCCCACCCAGGGCCTGCCTGGGAAGGCAATGATATCTCCACCACTAAAGGTATGCAAGCAGACTTTGGGCAAGCCCTGCCAGGGAGGGGGAAGTGGTGAGCCTCAAGCCTCCCAGCCTGCAGGTGCCCCTGGGGTCCTACCTGCCCCTACAGGTGGGTCTCTGCATGGGGTGGGGGTTGATCTGGGCCGAGTACCCTCCCATCTAGGGCAGGATGCCCCTGGTGTTTTCATGTGTGGCCAAACGCCTTTCAGCTCAGCCCCAGGTCACTCCTTTCACTTGCCTGCCTCTGCCCTTGCCATTTCTCCCAACCAAATGCTGCTTCTCACTCTCTCCTCCAGGCTCAGGGCCTGGGACAAGTTTCAGGTCATAGTTCTATGCCTCGGAGGCTCAAGGAGGGCTGGGCCAAGGAGCTCTCAGGAGGTGAGGCTCACAGGCACTCTGGAGACAGGCAGAAGGAAGTCCTTGTGGGACAGCCTGAGCAAGGCTGTGGAGGGAAATGGCTCCTCAAGCAGGTCAGGGTGCTGGCCCACCTGTGGTCTGGGAGGTGAAGTGAGGCAGGCAGGAAGGGCTTTGAGGGGCTCACTAAGGAGCCGCAAAAGCCCCATAGGTCCTGGGGGCCTCCGAGGGTCTTTGAGCAGAGAGTGCAGGGGAAGCTCTGGCTCAGGGGGCAGGGGTGGGGTGGGGGCGCTGCGGCTCAGGCAGGCCTATGGCTGAGGTGGTGCAGATATCTGGGAAACAGCTGGTCTGGGCTGGTGGAAGGCAGGGAGAAAGGGGGGTTAGCTGGGGTGGGGCTGACATGGAGGCCTCTGTCACCACACTCTGTGCAACAGCGCCTTTCACAAGCACCTGGGTGTCTGTCAAGGCAAGTACAGTATTGGGGTGGCTGGAACCTAGCCTGGCACCTGCCCTGGCTGTCTGTGCTCATGGTGCAGTAGCAAGACCCCAAGGCCTGTCCTAGCTGGTGGTGGGCCCTGGACTGCAGACCTTGGAGAGGCCTGTGGCTGTGAGTGGGGCTTTGCTGGGGAAGCCAGTGCCAGGAGGAGCTTTTCCTGGGTCACCCAGTGGGTGCTATGGAGAGGACACATGCAGAGAAGAGGCAGTGTGACCCCCAGAGGCAGACTGGAGGGATGTGGCAAGGCCAAGGAGCACTGGTGGCCACCAGAACTTGGAGAAGGCAGAGAAAGGAATGTTCTTCAGACCTTCTGGAGGGAGTGTGGCTCAGCAACACTGTAATTTTGGACTCCTGGTCTCCAGAACTGTGAGGGAATACATTTCTGTTTTTTTATGCCACACAGTCTGTAATTTATGTCAGCCACAGGAAACCATACATGAAGGGAAGGCTAAGTGACATTTAATGACGCCGAAGTCAACTCCTCGAAGGCAGCTGTCTTGTCTGCTTGGTCCCTGTTGTGTTCCCATACCTAGAAGCACACAGTAGGTGCTTCCCAAGTGTTTGCTGAATGACTAATAAGGAAAAGATTTTAAGAAATCTCACAGGAAAGATTTTACCTCCAAATTTAAATATCTTGCTTTTTTTGGGTGTGGATAAAAGTGAGGTACCAGGGCTCATGTGTTAACCCTGCCTCCCCATCATATTGCTCTACCCACAGCCTCTCTGCTCATCCTGCTGACCCAAAGCCTCCAGCTCAAGCATGCTGACACCAGGTTTAGGCCAGTGCCTGTGCTAGCAACAGAGAAAATGAAAATGAAATGCTCTCTCCAGAAGATTCTGAGGGTGAAATCCCACAGCCTCCTCCAGGGAGGACTATCCCCTGTACTGAACCAGTTTCCCTCAAATGAGCTGCTGTGATGGGTTTTGGGGCAGATGTGTGCAAATGTCACTCTAAGAACAAAGATGGCAGGCACCTGTGGGGTCCCAGTGCATGCCCTGGCCTGGCTGGAATGAGAGCTGCCGCCTGGGAGTGTGGGCTCCCCTCTACAGGATCTGTGGTGAAAGGCTGCCAGGACCAGAACTGGGTCCTGCCAGGCTCCACAGTACCGATCTGGTTCGCTCCAGGGAAGCACAGACAGATCTGTCCAGGGCAGCTGGGGTGGAGTCAGTGAAAGAAGCCGGGCAGTACACGGGAAGCAAGGACACCAGGATGCTGGGTCAGTGGCCTGAGTGGAGCGGTTCACCTCTGTCCTCTGAGATGTACACAGAGTCCTGAGAGGCTCTAACCGGGGCTGGCCATGATGCCCCTTGCTCCAGGCCCACCACCTCATCAGCTCAGAGGGCTTGGAGGCCGAGGCCTTCAACAGAGAAAGGAAAACAGACCAGAGAGACCTGGCCTGCAGATGAATGTGAGCACGTGCCTCCCTGACTAGGCAGACTAGGCAAAGGCTGAAAGCTCCAGGGAGCGCAGAGCCTGGTTCTCCCTTGGGGCAGCTCTGCCTGGGTCTGAAGCCCAAGCCCCTTGGGAAACTGCTTCTGACCTGAGGCTTTGTAGGTACAGGAGCTTGATCCTGTGCCAGTTTTCAGAGGTGGGACTTTTATGTTAGACTTGGAGAGAAAGTCAGACATACACAGGTCACCGATTTCTTGTTATTTCTTATTACATTGCAAGAGTTGTAAAACTATTCATAACTTGATAACAAGAAAAACAATGATCTGATTAATGTATTATTTATTATATAATAATTAGGTCTGAATCAAAGTCCAATCTAAAACATAGTACTTGAGGATCTATATTAGCTGGTTTTAGAAACGGCAAAATCCAAATCTACGTTTCCAATACATTTTCTCAGATAACCTTTAGGGAATTTTTCACTCCCATTGTTTGGCTCTGGAAAATCTTTATAGAGAACAGCATCTGTTACATTAGAAAAAAACCCCTAAGTACAGTGGTTAGGCACAGATTAAGGGGGACGATATGCACAAACTATACTAATTACAAACCAGTGCTTCTTTTAATCACACACTTGAATTTTAACAGTTTAAATAATCAGTGTTTCAGATAAATTTAAAATATACATCAAGAGGGTTTTTTAACATCTCCTTTCCTTTCTAATGCACCGTGGAAAAATGCATCAAACATTTCTTCAGTAGTAAACTAGAGCCACCAAAAATGGTGTCCTAAACTAGGACTCACCTTGTCCTCTTGAGAAAGAAGCAGAAGAGATTCTGGGTCAGGTTAAAAATAATATCCTAAGGGAATTATCTGTGGAGAGAAGTCCTGATCGTTCCCCTGAGGTTGTGCTGTGCTGTGGCTTCAGGGAGGCCCACACAACTACTGACAAGGGGGGGCTCAGGGGAGCTTACCCAGCACTCCCAGCATTGGTAGGAACAGGAAGGCCAGGGCTGAGAGGGGTAGACGGAAGTCCTGAATGGTCTGGACCATTTTATACTTGACCATCTTATTGGAACTCTTTGGGAAACAAGCATTTTCCTGCAAAGCGTTTGTCTATGAAAACAAATAGTCAAATCCTTAAATGGTTCCAAAACATTTACTGTCTGTTGGTTTAAGGCTTATCAGTACTTAACATTTTAATGAGCAGGAAAACATATGGGTTTAAAACTAAATTCTCTGTTGTCACTAAAGAGTTTTAACAAACTGGTACAGACTGTTTATGACAATGTCAACAGCATACATTCATTCAATTGTTCTTTTTCCTTCTACTTTTCTTTTAGGCAAAATTAGATTTTTGCTACCCAATAATCACCTGTTTTGGACATCAACTGTCCATTACTGGTTACAAAATACACGTGTGTACTCATATGTGAGCTGTAACTATAAAGTTGCATGTTGAATTGAGTTACATGTAGAAAAGCGTTCCATTACTTCAGAGCTAAACTGAATTCCACCTGCTGATGCCTAACCCACATTCACTCATATAAAAATAGATTATCTTTAACTCTGTAGAATCT